GAGAATTATAGATCCTGGTTAAAGCAGCAGCAGCAGCAGCAGGCGGCAGTGGAATTTCTCTAGCTCCATCAGGAATCTGTAGAAGAACTTGAGAAACAATTTAATGAGGAAACTTCATTACAGCCTTCTTTGACTAGGTCTATGTTGGTGGAGCATTTCACACTACGGAAACTGAAGCTGGTCCTCAGAGTATGACTCAGATATACGCGTTGCCTGAAATCCCTCAAGATCAATATGCTGCAGAATCATGGGAAACCTAGAAGCGGACCTAATTGAACTTAGCCAATTGGTCACAGAATTATCTCTCCTAGTGAATTCTCAGCAGAAGATTGACAGCATTGAAGACCATGTCAACAGTGCTGCTGTGAATGTTGAAGAGGGAACCAGAAACTTGGGGAAGGCTGCAAAATACAACCTGGAAATTCTCCCTGTGGCAGGTACATTCCTCAGAGGAGCCGTGTGTGTGTGTGGTGTGTGTGTGTGTGGGGGGGTGTCCTATTGGCCTCCTTGCAAAGTGGCAGGAATTACAGCTTATAGCTGCCCTTGGTGGTGGGGTGTTGGACTTCACAGGCAGAAAATTGATACAAAGAAGGAAACAAAATGATGGAGAAGCTCATTTCCAGCTGTCTAGATCTTCCCAGCCAAATTGACAAAAAATACATTTAGAAACCAAACTTTGGTATTATTGGCTTCACATGTTTATACTAATGGACCTTTGTTGCTGTCAGACACTCAGCATTTGGAACATGATTGTATCAAGATAGCGGCTATAGATGCTCAAATGGGATTGGATTGTGATAAGTGGATATATATATATATATATATATATTCCTGGAATGTTAATGGAATTGAGGGGCTTGGGCTGAGGGTGTATAATGTTTGTCAGGTAGTTTAAAGACTGCTAGGGAGAGGATTTTCTTCCCGAAAGTGTGAGAATTGAACCCATAATGTTGATAAGGACATGTGTGGTGTGGACATTTTGGGTTATGAAAGAACAGTTCTTGTCCTAACCCTGATTTGGAGATCCTAAGACTAAGCATATATTAAATATGCTTTTTATCTTCTAAATGTAGGAGATTATTTAGTCCTGTTAGCAAAGAAAAGAATGGGAGTTCAGGAGCCTTTCTTATCAAATAGGAAATTCAGATCTGGCAAGGGCACAGGTGAAGTACATGGTGGAGTCATTGGATGAACCTATTGCAGTTTCCTATAGGTCCACTATATTTTCTGATGAAGGAAACTAATAGTGAAAGAAAGGCCCAGCTTCTCTTTCAAACATCTTAATCTATGACACTGGCTCTCTGAACTCTTCCCTCTATCTTTCTTTAAATAAAGACAAAAATCTCAAGTGGTAGGAGACAGTGTTATTAAGCCAGCACTAAGCTAGCTTTGTCATTTTGTCTCTTTGCAGAAGTAGTGCCCTCTGCCTTCCTTCCCTTGTGCTTTTGAAAGTTCTTTGACTTGTGGGTGAATTCTACCCATGTGTAATGAGGGCTTTTCTCATAATCGGCTTTTTTTTAAATATGTTTTTTATTGATTTCAGAGATGAAGGGAGAGGGAGAGATAGTAACACCAATGAAGAAAGAGAATCATTGATCTGTTGCTTCCTACATGCCCCACACTGGGGATTGAGCTCATAATGCAGGCACGTGTTCTGACCGGGAATAGAACTGTGACCTCCTGGTTCATAGGTTGATGCTCAAACACTGAGCCATGCTAGCCAGTCCTAATCTGGTGGTATTGTTTTTTTTTTAAATTTTCTTCCATCTTTATTCATTCTTTTCTATAATATCTAGATAAGAGAGGGAGGGAGGCAGGGAGAAAGAGAGAGATCTCCAAATATTTCCAACATTATTAGAATTTGAGCTAAAAATAAGCAGGCAGGGAATATGCCAGATCATTTCCTGGGGCATCTTCCAATCTCAAGTGGCTGATGTACCTGCCACACAGGGAGTTTCTAACCCTAGGTCTTTTCAGCCAGCCCTTGGTGAAGCTAAGAACTAGCTTTCTACCTCATCTCTCTTACTACCATTCTTTTCCCCAGGCTTTGCTACCTGCTGTGCTTTCCTATAGGTCCACTATATTTTCTGATGAAGGAAACTAATAGTGAAAGAAATGACTCCACCATGTACTTCACCTGTGCCCTTGCCAGATCTGGCTTTCCTTTCACAGCTGCTATTTCTTCTGCTTGCCTTTTCTCATATTCAAGTTGATGATGGACGAAGCCTGGTGCCAACACTCAGTCCTGATGGATTTGTGGTGCTAATTCCAACACTTGACATTGACAGCAAGCATGGCCCAGCCCAACTCAGTTTCTGTATCAAATAGCAAAAAGGTTTTAAATTTAGAAAGAAAGAATTTAAGGTTACAGGCAGCCTCATCCTGTATCTCCAACTCATTTGAAATAGGAAAGAATCACCTTTTGCTTTACTCTTTTTTTTCTGAGGACAGAGGAAAGGGTACCAACACCATAAAAGGTGTGAGCTTTCTCTGCTCAGGAGCCAGAGGCATCAGACAGTGGAATGGTTTATCATTTCTCTCTTGCTGAGCTTACTCAATAACTTTTATTGATTGCTACCTTTTATTTCTGTCTCTAATCTAAAGAAACCTTTCTCCTTCATACTTTTTGATTCTTCTTACCAATAAATTCCAAAGAGAGAAAGCAAAAATAAATAAATAAATGAAGAAAGAAATAAAGAAAATAAAGAAAAGGAATACAATAGAATGATGTGATTTATGTTTTTTAAAAGATTATTCTGCCTAATATATGGAGCCTGGTTGAGGTACAGGGGAAATAATGGAAACAGGAAGACCAGTAGAAGCTAGGCTGTGCTAAAAAAATTTATCAGAAGTGAATCTGGGATTTTATTTTGAAGACCAAACGCAAATAGGTGTTGGGGGAAGGGTAAAGGGAAAAACTAAGAAAAGACTTCTAGATTGTTGAGTATTCAGGTGGAAAGTGGTACAGCTTATTGAAATCAAAAAGATCAAGGGGAGCATGTTGAGTATGTAAGTGGAATTTTCTTTCCTGAACATGTATAGTTGATATGTTTATTAGAAATAGAAATGTCAACTGGAGATAAAGATAGAAATTCATCAGCATGTTGCATTTTTCAGTGTACTTCCCTCTCTGTCTCTGCCAGGAAAAGGGTAGATTGGGTCTGCCTTTTTTGTACAGTGAATCCCTCTCAAAATTATGTGTTCAAAGAATATAATCATACCAGATAGAAAAAAAAGGAGGATGGCTTCCAGAGTTGTTTTGGGGGCAGTTAGATAATAAAGAGAAGGAAGGACATAAGGTGGCTCCCAAAGTAGTACCATTAATTAATTTGTGAAAATAGGGGTGTGGTAATTTGCATTTTGGTCCCAATTCTTCATCCTTGTGTATATTAGACCCTTTGCCATGTGTCATTATAATGACCTGCCATAGTGGTGTGCATATATCTGCTCCTTGACGGTAAGTTTCATCATGTGATCAGCTGGGGTGTGAGCAGATGTTATTTGAAGAGAAGCTTGAAAAAGCTCTTCCATAATTGGGCTTCCATTCTTCTGCATCTGCTATCATCATGAGAAGGACATGGTTGGCGTGGCCCACTGGAAGATAAAATGCATGTTATGCAAAGGCAGGACACCCCAGCTGGCCAAACTAAATCATGTAACAGCCAGCCAACCCTCAGACATTTGAGCAAATCCAACCAAGGTTAACATCTAGCCAACTCCCACTGCTCCCAGTCATGTGAGCAATAAACACTTATTTTGTAAGTCACTGAGGTTTTACCATTCTGACGCTACATAATTGATACAAGGAAGAACAGGATGGAATAGAGGCAAGGATTAGTCTGATTTTTTGACATGTTGCATTTGACATGGCTAGTGGCCACTGGATGTAAGACTCAACAGCCACTTAAGTTCTGTGAATTATCAGCATAGACATAGTCAACATATAAGTATGGATAAGATTACCCAAGGAGTTATATATAGAATGAAAGGAGAAAATTCTGATAACGGCACCCTGAGAAAGATCTGCTTTAGAAGGAACCATTGTGACTGAGAAGGAATGCTCAGCAGTATCTGGGAGAACCAGAGAAGAGTGGTGATGTGAAAACAGGAAACTCATAAATGCAGAGAACCAACTGATGGTTGCCAAAGGAGAGGGGCGTTGGAGGACTGGGTGGAAAAGGTGAAGGGAATGAGAAGTACAGATTGGTAGGTATAAATAATCACGGGATGTAAAGTACAGCATAGGGAATATAGCCAATAATATTGTTAGAATTGCCAAATGCCAAGAGAGGTAAAATAGACATCTTTATACTCATTTTACAAATGAGTAGGTTTGGATAGGTTAATTAAGTTTGCCACGTATGATCATAACAATTAGTAAATAACAGTAAGGGAACTAGAACCTAGGCCTTTTAATTTTTTTTTAACCCAAGGTGTTATCATTTTTATCATGTTGTCTTTCTTTAGTGCAGTGGTTCTCAACCTTCTGGCCCTTTAAATACAGTTCCTCATGTTGTGACCCAATCATATAATTATTTTCGTTGCTACTTCATAACTGTAATGTTGCTACTGTTATGAATCATAATGTAAATATCTGATATGCAGGATGGTCTTAGGCGACCCCTGTGAAAGGGTCGTTCGACCGCCAAAGGGGTCGTGACCCACAGGTTGAGAACCGCTGATTTAGTGTGTACTTCTGATGTAAATATATTATTAAAGTGATTGTAAAATATCGTTTACATGAAAAATGTTAAGACAAGTGATAAAATTTTAACATTTAGAATTATATGAATATTAAAAATAGATATATAATTGGGCTTCCACTGAGATTATAATCTTGTTATGTTATTGAATGTTTCCTTCCATTATACATCAATTTTTCTATATCTGATAAATGTGTTTATGTTGTGATTTCCTACATGCATTATGGATAGAAAAATGACTTTCCTCTCATGTTGAGTATCATGAATTAATAATAATAATGTTGAAATATTTTACAGAATGAACTTCATGAGCTAGAAAAACAAATAGCAACTGTTTCTGCAGAAACTAAAGAAACAGAAAGGCTAATTAATCAGCAAGATGTTGCCATAGAGAATAGCAAACTTCAGTGTGAAAACCTGGAAACACAAATCAAATCCTTACATACAGAAAATGTAAAGCTTAAATTTGATATAGAAGTAGCCCAAGAAGATTTCAAGGAACATGTGATAAAATATAATGAATACTATGCAAAAATTAAAGTGCATAAAGATAGCTCGGGGGAGGAAGAAAGCAAATGGCCATTTATGATTGAGCTACGTGAAAAACAAGATCTTGTTAAAAAACTGAAGGTAATGAAAGAGGAACTTAGGCAAGATCTCCAGAATCCAGAAGGAAACCGGATGAAACAAGTACAGGTTTGAAATATCACTTATTAAAACCTTTTCTATTCTTTTTTTCTTCTTTTTTAAATCCTCACCTGAGGACATGCTTAGAGAAGAGAGAGAGAGAGAGAGAGAGAGAGAGAGAGAGAGAGAGAAATTGCCTTCCTGCCTTCCTATATGCCCCAACCAGAAATTGAACCTGCAACTGAGATATGTGCCCTGAGTGGGAATCAACCAGCAACTTTTCTCTGCACAGGATGATGTTCAACCAACTGAACCACTCAGGCTGAGCTATTCTCTTTTTTCATGTACACTTATTAAGTGATAAATTTATCATTAACTTAATCAAGTACCCATGGCTGCTCTAATGAAATTCAGAAACTATTTTCACAACTTTAAAAAACTTGGATAAGCACATGAGTTATGTAACAACTATGCCACATGTCTAAATGCATAAAGAAAACATCCCCAAATTCCATGTGGACTAATACAAATGCATGGTAAAACAAAATCACAGTGAGCAATTAATACATTTGTTGCAGAAAGTGTAACTCACAAAAATGTTGAAGCCCTAGCTTCCAAGCTAATGGATCCAGACCAATCCAAGTCAATTTAGTATGCTTAATGCTGTTTTGCAAATAATATGAATTAATAATTGCAGCTTACACATTTTTCTATTTCTTTTACTATTCTTTGAAGACAATGGGAGAGACAAACTTAAAATATCTATTATGTCTTGCTAGAGACTTACAAGTATCCTTTACACTGTTGCCGGACAATTGCCACTATAATTACCACTATCCTTTACGTGTTATTCCATTTGGATTTTCTAAATGCTCAAACATAATTTTTGTTTATTTGTTTGTATTATAGTTTTGTTTTTATTATTTGTTCCTATAGAAGGTAATATTCTAATTCTATTTATCAAAAAGAATTATTATGGCTAGTTTTATTAAATTATAGAAACACTGAAAATCTTGGCTTTATATTGATCCTTCACAGTTTGACTTGTATATATTAAATTTTATAAACATACAGGAAGACATTACAAAGCTAAAGGATAAAATCACAACTACAAAAGAATCTATCATTGAAAAAACTTGTTTTCTTGAGGAAGAAAACAAGACACATGAAAAATTAAGAAAAGAAATAGAGGTAAGTCTTGATCACCTGGATTTCAATGTTTTATGGAATCTTTTCTTAAACTTACATTATTTTCATACTATCCACAGTTTATTCTCAATCCCCAAATAGCTAAAGAACAATAAAGAACTACATAAAGCATTAGAAAAGTCCAACACATCCTATATAATAAAAGCCTAATATGCTAAGTTTTTGGTCATCTGGTCATCCATTCAACCAATCAAAGCATAATATGCTAATGATATGCTAAGCCTGCTCAACCCTCGCTATGATGTGCACTGACCACCAGGGGGCAGATGCTCAAAGCAGGAGCTATCCCCAGCCTGCAGGCCTCGATCACCCGATTGGGACCTGCTGGCCAACCTCCTGGTACTTTCCCCTGGCCAGCAGGCTCCAATCACCCGATAGAGAATGGGGAGCCAGGGGTGGGTGGCAGCAGACATGGGCGGCACCAGGCCAAGGCAGGTGTGAGCAAGCAGGGCCCTGATTGCCCAACCAGTCGCCCTATATGCAGAGGGCAACCAGTGTCAGTGGTGGGGGGCAGGGCCAGCTGCCGGAAGCTGGGGAAGATTGGCCCTGATTGCAGGCCAGGCCTAGGGACCCTACCCATGCACGATTTTCATGCACCGGGCCCCTAGTTAATAGATAATTAGAGATAACTCCCTCATTCAAAGGTATTGAAATATGAATCTATTTAGACAAAGCAAGCACTCACTCCTATTTCAATCTGTCCTAAAATTATTCCAAATCTAATTCCATCAACAACCTGGCACCCAATTAATGGCTAGAAAACAGGCTATTGAGTCAGAAAAGATGACCTTTCCTAGATATACATCAGTGACTCCTCAAAAGAGAAGAAAAAAACAATGGAAGTCAGTACTACAAAACCCTCTGACTTCATATTTGCAATTATTGAGTCTAATTTAAAAAACTGTTATACAAAATTAAAAGTGAGACCAAGTTTGGGATACCACTGGTAGACTTCTGTAGTCACTATTTTTAGATGAATGAAAATTAAAATGGAGAAGAATATGTTGTTAAGCTCAAATAATTTTCACTCTTAAGGTATTAATTTGTAAAATAAAAAGATACATATCTTTAACTTGTTTGTGACTAATTTGGTACAATTAATAAGCATCTGAGTTACCATGGCCTGATGGCTCAGTTGGTTAGAGCATCATCCCAAAAGATTACAGGTTTAATTCCCGGTAAGGCACATACCTCAGTTGTGGATTCAATCCCCAGCTTGGCGCCTTCAGAGGCAACGGATCAATGTTTCCCTCTCACATCATTGTTTCTCTCTCCCCTTTCCTCTCTCTATAAAATCAATAATAATAAAAAACATATTCTTGGGTGAGGATAAAAAAGTCTGTATATTTATACTATAATAAAAATATTTAATCATACTCTTTAAATAGTGGAAGCAAATAGAGGTTGCATCACATACAGATGACAGCAAGTGAGCACCAAGTCTTTTAGTGCAGTATATTCTCCATGTTAAAACAATGACATGTGTGTTTGTTACATATATGGAGAAACTGTGGACAATACAGAATTTAGCAACATATTTCACACAATGTTCTTCTCAAAATAGGATAGCACTTTGATTTACAAAACTGTCTCATTTTATTTATGTATTCACTCACCAATTCATTCAACATATTTATTGAGTTCATACTATGTGTCAATTACTCTTTTAAGTGCTTACAATAGAGTATCAAACAAAATAAATTGATAAAAATCCCTGTTCTCAGGGAACTTGTGTTTTAGTTGGAGAGACAGACATAAAAAAATATGTAAATAAGATACGTAGCATGCACTGTGGCTGGTGCTCTAGAGTCACACTAAGGGAACTTGTACATCTCTGTTCTGATCTGTTGTGTATTCATTTTGTACCTTAACCATTGAAGAAGAATTTCAGAAGAGGCTCATATGCAACCAAACACACTTATTGATTAACCCCAAATTTTTCCAATTATATATATCTATATATACATACATATCAGTGGATATATATCCTCTTGAATATATTCAGTGTATAAAAATATTTCAAATATAGCTTCATTATTTAATATAGTATTTCAGTTTATTCCATATTTATTTCTAATCCTTTTAAAGTCATTTTCTATTTGCCAACATACCAGCAGACCTAATTCACTAATTTGAGTAAATTATCTGAATTTGAAAAATTACCAAAAATTAAAAACTTAAAGAGTTGCATTAAGTTTATTACAATTTATGTGAAGTGTTAGTTACAAGTTTTCACTTTGCTTTTATAACAATATTTTGGAATGCTTTG